TTAAACAAATATTATCTATATACTTACTTGTTTACTGCGTGAGTATAGTAAAAATCGAGAAGTTTCTCAAACGTTCTCAAAACGGACTTTATTTATCGAAACATAAGGATTGTTGTTGCCGTCCGAGAACTTATGCTGCTGGGGTTTTTCACAAACTGTAATGGCGCTTAGGTTGATTGACAGGAAGTCAGAATGACACCTGTCAATATTCCTAAGCGTCATTCACAGTAATTTGAACAACCACAGGCGTAGTGAGTGGAGGGAGGTCACTGTCTATGTCGAGACAATCGTCGCGAACCTGAACACTGTTTATAGTTCTGGGCATAATTTTTGCTATTGATATATATGGTCAATTTATCCCTCGTATGGCAACTTCCATATACCTAACGAATCAATAATATCTTCAGATCTATATAAGTTTGTTTTCTTATGATATATTAATGTACATATCTATACTAAAAATGCAAATATCTTATTAAGTAATTTATAATATTTCGCAAAATGACATTTTTCAACTATATATTATAATATTTTAAAGATTTCCAAACATTTCGGTTAACCGGTTTAACCGGTTTTTTATACTCGGTTAACCGACAAACCGGTTTTTTAGAAATGGTTAATTTTCGGTTAACCGAAAAACCGGTTTTTCCAAAAGTCGGTTTTTTATAAACACTATACACTAGCTAATACGTCACGTATTTTTGACATTTGTTTACCTCTTCAATTAAGTTTGTGTGTGTTGTTGCTAAACTTTTTGTATGATTTGTGTATCCTGGCAGAGGAATGAAATTATAGGTTGTTGCGAAATGTTACAACTCTAAATTATTTTAAAATTGTGTTAAGAAACAAATATATATTTTTAGCGACAAGTTATTGAATTGTTGGCATAAATTTTTTATTTGATTTAAAATTTATGTCTTTGTGTCACTCAATGATAATGGCATTACAATAGTATACAGAGTTGACGACTGGTAACCTAATAGGTGTTCAACTAATATATAAACGAATAAAAAATTTCACTACAATCCCTCATTTGCACCTTTTCTCTGCATTAGTGTACTATAAAATAATTTACGGACGATTGTACGTTTTTAGTAGAAATGAAAATAGTCTGGTATAAGTATAGTATAGTCAATAATCTAGTTTTTAGTCTACAATCTAGTCTATAGTCTAGTGTATAGTCTAATCTATAGTCTAGTCTATAGTCTAGTCTATAGTCTAGTCTATAGTCTAGTCTATAGTCTGGTCTATAGTCTAGTCTATAGTCTAGTCTATAGTCTAGTCTATAGTCTGGTCTATAGTCTAGTCTATAGTCTAGTCTATAGTCTAGTCTATAGTCTAGTCTATAGTCTAGTCTATAGTCTAGTCTATAGTCTAGTCTATAGTCTAGTCTATAGTCTAGTCTATAGTCTAGTCTATAGTCTAGTCTATAGTCTAGTCTATAGTCTAGTCTATAGTCTAGTCTATAGTCTAGTCTATAGTCTAGTCTATAGTCTAGTCTATAGTCTAGTCTATAGTCTAGTCTATAGTCTAGTCTATAGTCTAGTCTATAGTCTAGTCTATAGTCTAGTCTATAGTCTAGTCTATAGTCTAGTCTATAGTCTAGTCTATAGTCTAGTCTATAGTCTAGTCTATAGTCTAGTCTATAGTCTAGTCTATAGTCTAGTCTATAGTCTAGTCTATAGTCTAGTCTATAGTCTAGTCTATAGTCTAGTCTATAGTCTAGTCTATAGTCTAGTCTATAGTCTAGTCTATAGTCTAGTCTATAGTCTAGTCTATAGTCTAGTCTATAGTCTAGTCTATAGTCTAGTCTATAGTATAGTCTATAGTCTAGTCTATAGTCTAGTCTATAGTCTAGTCTATAGTCTAGTCTATAGTCTAGTCTATAGTCTAGTCTATAGTCTAGTCTAGTCTAGTCTATAGTCTAGTCTATAGTCTAGTCTATAGTCTAGTCTATAGTCTAGTCTATAGTCTAGTCTATAGTCTAGTCTATAGTCTAGTCTATAGTCTAGTCTATAGTCTAGTCTATAGTCTAGTCTATAGTCTAGTCTATAGTCTAGTCTATAGTCTAGTCTATAGTCTAGTCTATAGTCTAGTCTATAGTCTGGTCTATAGTCTAGTCTATAGTCTAGTCTATAGTTAGTCTAAGTCTAGTCTATAGTCTAGTCTATAGTCTAGTCTACAGTCCTAGTCTATAGTCTAGTCTAGTCTAGTCTCTAGTCTATCTATAGTCTAGTCTATAGTCTAGTCTACAGTCTAGTCTATAGTCTAGTCTATAGTCTAGTCTACTAGTCTAGTCTATTAGTCTAGTCTATAGTCTAGTCTATAGTCTAGTCTAAGTCTAGTCGATGGTCTAGTCTATAGGACTAGTCTATCGTCTAGTCTATAGTCTAGTCGATTGGTCTAGTCTATCGTCTAGTCTATGCTCTTGTCTATAGTCTAGTCTGTAGTCTAGATTATAGTGTAGTCTATAGTCTAGTCTATAGTCTAGTCTATAGTCTAGTCCATAGTCTAGTCTATAGTCTAGTCTATAGTCTAGTCTATAGTCTAGTCCATAGTCTAGTCTATAGTCCTAGTCTATAGTCTAGTCTATAGTCTAGTCCACAGTCTATTCTATAGTCTGATCTATAGTCTGGTCTATAGTCTAGTCCATAGTCTAGTCTATAGTCTAGTCCATAGTCTATTCTGTAGTCTAGTCTATAGTCTGGTCTATAGTCTAGTCTATAGTCTAGTCTATAGTCTAGTATATAGCCTAGTCTATAGTCTAGTCTATAGTCTAGTCTATAGTCTAGTCTATAGTGTAGTCTATAGTCTAGTCTATAGTCTAGTCTATAGTCTAGTCTATAGTCTATAGTTCTAGTCTATAGTCTAGTCTATAGTCTAGTCTATAGTCTAGTCTAGTAGTCTATAGTCTATAGTCTAGTCTATAGTCTAGTCTATAGTCTAGTCTATAGTCTAGTCTATAGTCTAGTCTCTAGTCTAGTCTATAGTCTAGTCTATAGTCTAGTCTATAGTCTAGTCTATAGTCTAGTCTATAGTCTAGTCTATAGTCTAGTCTAGTCTAGTCTAAGTCTAGTCATAGTCTAGTCTATAGTCTAGTCTATAGTCTAGTCTATAGTCTAGTCTATAGTCTAGTCTATAGTCTAGTCTAGTCTATAGTCTAGTCTATAGTCGAGTCTATAGGCTAGTCTATAGTCTAGTCTATAGGCTAGTCTATAGTCTAGTCTATAGTCTAGTCTATAGTCTAGTCTATAGTCTAGTCTATAGTCTAGTCTATAGTCTAGTCTATAGTCTAGTCTATAGTCTAGTCTATAGTCTAGTCTATAGTCTAGTCTATAGTCTAGTCTATAGTCTAGTCTATAGTCTAGTCTATAGTCTAGTCTATAGTCTATAGTCTAGTCTATAGTCTAGTCTATAGTCTAGTCTCTAGTCTATAGTCTAGTATATAGTCTAGTCTATATTATAGCCTATAGACTAGAGTATGGTTTAGTCTAGTTTATTTTATGAACTATATTCCAGGGTATATACTTCTCATATAGTCTGGGCGAATGTACATTTGATATTCTAGAGATTATTCCTGTACTGTATTCTATAGTATTTGTTAAAGTTTTTCTGAAATTTGGTCAAATTTGATGTTGAACTATATTCTCGGTATAATAATCTTGTACTTTGACTATGGTCCACGAACAATACAAATTGACAGCGATAAAATACGAGAGTAATTGTCCAGGAATAATGATATTTGGAACATCGTTTAAACTACTTACTTTTATATTTGTTTTTTTTGTTTTAAATATAAAAACAAGTTAAATTTTTTTATAATTTTATTTTATTAATTTTCTTTTTTATAAAATCATGACACTTTTTTTTATTTTAACACATTTTTCATTTATAATTTTTACATCATTTTATTTTTTATACTACTTAAATCTAATTAAATTTATTTATATTTTATGTCATATTTTTTTGTTTGCTCTGCCTTAAAATAATAAATATCACTAGGAGGGGGTTTTGCTAATATTTTAAATAGTTTTTTTTTTAATATTATTTCTATACATATATATCGTCTATTGATTTTAGCGTTTAATAATATCTGTGAGTTGTTGTTTTTTTATAATTACAATTTTTATATAATTTTTTTTAAAACATTTTTGTTTTGTTTTTAATTTTATTTTTCAGAACACACAGCCTTGCTTTGTTTTATTTTCATTTTTTTTTTATTACATTAAATTTACAAAAATGGCTTCATATTTTGTTTTACACAATGTAGCTTTTTTTTTTCTTTGCAATGAAAATATTTTTTTTAAAAATGATTATGTACAAAATTGTTATATGCAATAATAACCGAAAGTATAGTTCAACGGCAATAAGGAAAAAGCATATAAATCAAGTTATGCAGTTTATGATATACATAGTTTCAACTCTATATTTTTAGAAATTTGTTATGTTCTGCTCTGTTGAGTACAAAAGTGATTTACGTGACTTTTCCTTGTTACCACAAAGTTATAAATATGATTATTTTAATTACTATTATGATAAATTAAAGGTTTTAAATTAGTTTTTATGGCTTCATTGCCTTAAGTTCAAAAAAATTGTAAGTTCAATTATATCATGCTTTTTGCTTTATTATTTATATTACTCATACGTCCCCGTGTAAGCGAAAACGTCTAAAATTAATGGCTGCCAAAAGAACTTTCAACAATGTTCCAGTTTTAGGGTAAGAAAACTAAACCGAATTTAAAATGAAAACAGTAGACTATTGAAAACTATTAGTTTCATTTAAAAATTATACATTTATTATACAAGCTGTTTTTTTATATTTTTATAAAAATTCTTTAATAATTTCAAATATTTAGTACATTCATTCACAATATTTAAAAACTATTAGGGAGACCAATTAATAAAACATTATTTACAAAACTCTTGTACAAAATTTATCTCGAAATTAAATTAAATCTATTTGCAGTTGCCTAAAAATTATATAAATAAAAAAAAATAAACAATAAAAGCTATTTCCACTCAAAACAATGGCTGTAATGAAAGAGAATATAGAAAAATTAATTTTCAAACAAAACTAAAGTTTTATTTTCATATGTAAAAAATTCAAAAAAAAAAAAAAAAAAGTAATATTAAGCTCACCTTTATTTTGCCCATTTAGCTTAAAAGATTTAATTAACATAAGTGTTGCTCGTTTTGTTGTTGTTAATTATTTTTAGATTTTTTCATTCCAACAGACTGATGTTTTCCACTCTGTTGAGAAGTTGTGAACAAGTAGATGGTAACAGAACTGCAAAGAAAGGTAGAAGAAAGAAATTGTTGTTAACATTTAATATTCCTTTTTGTGCACTATGGTTTCAGGTTTCTTAAGAGTTTTTTGGTTTAAAACATTTGTGCATTTTTGAAATTATAAATGTAAAACAAAGCTTTTTAAAGAGATACATCACACTCCGAATGCCTAATGCAATACCCAGCAGCATCAGTTTTCTGGAAAGTCTTGATTTTTATCCTTGAGACAATTTAAATAAAAATTCCATTATTTTCAATTTTAGCCTAACTAACTACTAACTAACTAACTAACTAACTAACTAACTAACTAACTAACTAACTAACTACTAACTAACTAACTAACTAACTAACTAACTAACTAACTAACTAACTAACTAACTAACTAACTAACTAACTACTAACTAACTAACTAACTAACTAACTACTAACTAACTAACTAACTAACTACTAACTAACTAACTAACTAACTAACTAACTAACTAACTACTACTAACTACTAACTAACTAACTACTAACTAACTAACTAACTAACTAACTAACTACTAACTAACTAACTAACTACTAACTAACTAACTAACTAACTAACTAACTAACTAACTACTAACTAACTAACTAACTAACTACTAACTAACTAACTAACTAACTAACTAACTAACTAACTAACTAACTACTACTAACTAACTAACTAACTAACTAACTAACTAACTAACTACTAACTAACTAACTAACTAACTAACTAACTACTAACTACTAACTAACTAACTACCTACTACTACTAACTAACTAACTAACTAACTACTAACTAACTAACTAACTAACTAACTAACTAACTAACTACTAACTAACTAACTAACTACTAACTAACTAACTAACTAACTACTAACTAAACTAACTACTAACTAACTAACTAACTAACTAACTCCTAACTAACTAACTAACTAACTACTAACTAACTAACTAACTAACTAACTAACTAACTAACTAACTACTAACTAACTAACTAACTAACTAACACTAACTACTAACTACTAACTAACTAACTACTACTAACTAACTAACTAACTAACTAACTAACTACACTAACTAACTTCATAACTAACTTCATAACTACTAACTACTAACTACTAACTAACTAACTAACTAACTAACTAACTAACTAACTAACTAACTAACTAACTAACTAACTAACTAACTAACTAACTAACTAACTAACTAACTAACTACTACTAACTAACTACTAACTACTACTAACTAACTAACTAACTAACTACTAACTAACTAACTACTAACTAACTAACTAACTACTAACTAACTAACTAACTACTACTAACTAACTAACTAACTAACACTACTAACTAACTACTAACTAACTACTAACTAACTAACTAACTAACTAACTAACTAACTACTAACTAACTAACTAACTAACTAACTACTAACTACTAACTAACTAACTAACTAACTAACTAACTAACTAACTAACTAACTAACTAACTAACTAACTAACTAACTAACTAACTAACTAACTAACTAACTACTCTAACTAACTAACTAACTACTAACTAACTAACTAACTAACTAACGAACTAACTAACTAACTAACTAACAACTAACTAACTACTAACTAACTAACTAACTAACTAACTAACTAACTAACTAACTAACTAACTAACTAACTAACTAACTACTACAACTAACTAACTAACTAACTAACTAACTAACTAACTAACTAACTACACTAACTAACTACTAACAAACTAACTAACTAACTAACTAAACTAACTAACTAACTAACTAACTAACTTCCTTATCCTTCTCGTAGTGTGCTTAACTTCTGTATCCTCATAGTGTGCTTAGAGAAAAAACAGTTGGTGTGCCTTCGAAGTTATTTATGTATTTTATCGTGTTACTAGTGTTAAGTCAATAAGTCAATTTTGATCTTCAAGCCATTTCTTGAAGGGACTTTGTAATTGAGGCCCAATCATTATAAAAATCTGCAAACCCGGCAAAACTAAATTTTGCCAAATTTTGTTGACGTACTGGAACACGTCATTTCAAGAGCTTTATTCAGGAGGTAAGGTTCTATGGGGGCTATGCGAACTAATGGACAGATTGCAACAATTTTCAAATTTTCTTGAAGATTGGATGGACTAACAGAAGGACAGACGGACACAGCTAAATCGACTTAAAAACTGAATCTGAGCCGATTGGTATTTTTTAAGGTGTGCGTAGGACCAATATTGTTGAGTGTTACAAACATCAGCACAAACGCATAATACCCTCTCCACTATAGTGATGTAGGGTATATAAAAACGTAGTGTAAAAACGTAAGCTTTTTAAAAAGATACATCACACTACGAATGCCTAATGCAATACCCAGTAGTTATCAGTTTTCTGGAAAGTCGACTTTAGAACTGAATCTGAGCCGATTGGTATTCTTTAAGGTGTGCGTAGGACCAATATATTTGGGTGTTACAAACATCAGCACAAACGCATAATACCCTCTCCACTATAGTGATGTATGGTGTAGGAAACAAAATATATCAGTCTAAAAATTACTAGGTAAAATTTTATAGAAACTTCAAAAAGTGCCTTTTTGAAAAACGAATAGTACCAAAAAGTCTCATTTTATAGGTAAATACAGAGTTTTATTTTTCTAGACCCAATATTATAGAAAAGTCAAAAGTTATATATTGAAAAAAGCACCAAAAAATAGTCATTGTTTCGAGAGTTCCAAACACAGTTTTCCTTATCTGTGTTGGCATTAACAAATTAATAACAATACTCATCTTTATGCTTAACTTTTTCTTGCTCCTTTTTGTTTTTATGTTCTAGCAAACTAAATACAAGAAGAACATTTACCTTATGAATCTGTATTTTGTTATTTATTTTTATCTAGGAATTCACAAAAATCTGCGATATCTGGGGTGTTCACAAAATTGATTTGAAGAAACATACAGTCAGACAGACAGAGAGATGGACACAGAGATAGACAGACGGACACAGAGACAGACAGACGGACACAGAGACAGACAGACAGACGGACACAGAGACAGACAGACGGACGCAGAGATAGACAGATGCACACAGAGACAGGCAGACAGACAGACAGATAGACAGACAGACAGACAGACAGACAGACAGCAGACAGACAGACAGACAGACAGACAGACAGACAGACAGACAGACATAGCTTAATCGAATCCGCTTTTTGCATAAAATTGTGTATGTATTTTGGTTAAACTGAAAGATGTCTTCAATAGTCTAATGAAATCATAAAATTATTTATATCAATGAAAAGCTTATGATATATTTACATATTAAATTTAATAGCAAACACAACATCGCTTGAAAAATTAAATCACAAGCCATTCTATTGGTCACAACTACAACAAATTTAAATATCAATCCAAACACAATTTTATTGCAATTTTTGTTACGACTCTGTTCTCACAAAACTTTAACACTTTTTTTCTACAAATTGTCTTCCAAAATCCAACTAATGAATTTAAATCAAAGAGACAAAGTAAAAGATTACAATAAAATATGCAGTTGTTTTTATAGACCAATAAAAAAATTTGAAAAATGAAGAAAAACTACAACAAGTTTTTTTCTCACAAAATGTTTTTAATTTACGAAGGACTAGAAGTTGTTGGCCCAGTAAGCAAGACAAATGATGAAAAAAAGTATAGAAGAAAAGAATTTCAAGTGTAAATTAACATTGAATTTTTAATGTTTCCGAAAAAATTTTTTCGTTTTGTTGAAGTTTATCTGCTTTTGTGTTGCTTTCTTATTAAATGCTAAGAGTTAATTTTTTTAATCTTTTAGCAGAGTTTTTTCCTTTAGCATTTTTGGGATTGGTCAGTAAATTTTAACGAATTTGTATTTTTCTTTAACTAACAACCAAAAACTTGATGAACTTCTTCCTATAACGTTTTGTTTAAGGCAAATAAGAGAAGAAATTTGGATATAAAGTAAGTGAAAATGAAGGCAGAACTTTAAAGGTATTGAATCAATAATAAACTAACAACTAGCCTGTCTAGGCTTTTTAATAAAGTTTGACCTTGGATTATACTAAAATGAATTAATAATTTAATCGATAAAAGGTCAAAGGTGATTCTTATCCGATGAATAGTTGACTGTGGAATTATTATTTTTGGGTATTAAAAACGTCACCTCTAGAAGATTTGTACTTTACAAGAGAAATGAAAGTGTGAAAACTCATATTCAAATTATGTCTGTTCTATTCTAAGAATGTGAAAAAGGGGTTGGTGAAAATGTTCAAATCATCAAATAATTTAAGACAACAAAATTAAAATTGAGTTGGGTTAAAGTCAAGAGAAACTTAACACTAGTTAAAACCATAATTCACAAAGAACATAGAAACAGAAAGGGTGTGAACACAAGGGAATAAAGAAAATAACTTTCAGACAAAAGTGTTACATCAGAATTTTCTTGTGATAACTTAACAACTGTTCACTCCCTCCTAAGGTTAAAACTTTTTCTTAAAGTTCTAGGTAACTCTAGTGTTAATTTCTACCTTTAAATTTTTTCTTATCTTTTTCATCATTTTTTTTTCTAAGCTTTATTATCTTTTATTGCCATTAATTCATTAAACGTAGACAAATAATTTTCTTCTCAAGAGATTTTCACCCTCTTCTATATATTATAGCATTTCCTTTTTGTTTTTGTTTTCACGTCCTAAACAAAATAAAACAAAATCCTTCATGTCTAATGCAAATTATTTACCTTTTTTGCTACTTTTTTCTTCTTCTGTTAAACCTAGTTAAAGGAGTGGGCTTTATAGCAAACTTTAGAGATCTCTGATGTCAAAATTGATGATAAGCTATTTTTTAAGATTTATTAATATTTACCTAAGTATGTATGTATGTATATAAACAGGGTGTTAATTTAAGGTTTAAAGAAATTCTGTTTTTTTTTCCTCTCTCTTAAAGACCAAAGTTCAAAATCGCCTTAATTAATAAATAAACCCCTAATCAT